TGATAAATTGTCAACAGATTGTATAAGAAATTAAAACGAACATTTGTAATGTCAATCCTTTCCCAGCTGGGAATTTATAAATTTATCAAAGTATAAACTGGGACATGTGGAGTTCCCTGTTAGATTCACAAACTTTGTTCGCTTCCGCAAATATCGGAAACAATGGGGCATAACGACCTGCCTCTGTACGGCGCACGGTAACATTGAACAGTCTTGTTCTGTCCAACTCTCTCCAAAATACCATTGAAACCGTACGTAACAGCATCTGATAGTAACATATCCCTACATTATACTATGAATTTTGTATTCTAAAATGAAAAATCTGTTATGTCCCTGTCAAAGAGTTTATCAAGAAAGATTTTTGTCGTGTTTTTAATTTTATTTCATGCTGTCTTAATATTAAGATCAAGGACTGTCTAGACGGAGTATAAATACTGTCTCGGCGATTGTACGCCTGAAAAGATGTTCTCAATAGTATGCTATGTGTCTAAAGAAAGAGATGTAATGATTAACTATACTATTTGAAATATAAATACAAGTGAATATCAGTCCATTTGTAAGGGAAAATATAGGCATGGTCGAAGTCAATGTAGTCAAGCGAAAAACTATTTATTTAGGTGTTTAGCAAATTACTGACACCTTCGCAAGGTTATTAGTCACAACTGCAACATTAATGGTAGACTATTTCAAGGTCGACTTCTGTAAAGGCGTTCTCCTTCGCTTGAACGAATCGGTCATAGCTTTACGATAAATTCGTTTTACGTGAGTCATTATTTACCTCTTATAACCTTCATACAATTTTAAATTATCTTTCTTTGATTCTACTTTTTCTTCTAGTCTTTTTAGCACGACGTACATGTACTAAACATTTTCGTCAACAACGTGATATTCGTTGGCCAAATTACGGTATTTGTAACTATCAAATTCATGCTAAAAACGCCATGTCCCAGTGTGCTACTGATATTTCTTAAATGATGTAAAAAACATCTCGATATTTCTTTTACTAACTGAATTCTACCTATAAAAAAACTACGAAATTTCATATTGCCACTGTGTTATGTAAAAGTAAGCGAATTTCGACATAACAATTCCAATATCGTAGAAGCTAGTAAAATAGTTTTAGATACAACTAAAACGATAAATAGAGCAACTACGAAGCATCTGTCTCTATTATGATGAGACAAATATCTACAGAGTATACCAGACCCATGATGATAATCTATCATTTTGCTAACACGCAATATCTCGATCAATCCTTAGACTAAGTTGCGATCCGTCAGCCTTATAAGATACATGGAAAGCTAATAAAAAAGATGTACCCGCGGTAGATAAAATTATCTCCTTACTAAATTTACCACTCAACTTCAACGCCGTGACACTTACATTATGACGTATTGGTGTCCCATCTTTTGTGTCGGGTTGAAAATCCTAGAAGATACCTGCCTTTTGGGAGAAATACAGGTTTATATGAAACTTGACTCACTATAACCCTGTCGTTGGCCATTTTTGATTGCGATTATATTAGAGAGAGTCCCCGGTTTCTCTTCACTGCACAGAGACTCACCTCGTGCCCTTGCATATCTATGGATTGTTGGGGAGGCGATCAGAGCCCCACCCTAATCTACCACAACAATACATATTGTCGTCCTTATCATTGTCTTCAAAAAATAATAGAGACAACAATATGTATTAACGTAATTCAATATCTTTCACGGTTAGACGTACGATGAAATTACTTAAGGCGAATCTGTACTGTTACTGTGTTGTCGATGACATTTGCTGAATAATCCAAGATAACGACTGCGATATCATGTGACCTTAACATGACATTAGGATGTAATTGGCAACTTAAACGTGTATTAATTTCTTATAATACGATGTAATATCGCCTAGCAAACTCTGGATACAAGCGAACAACAAGATTGAAATGAAATATTGCAACAAAAATTGGGATAAGGTTGGACAGGCATTTAAATTTTCTATTATTAATCTAGGTTTAACTTGTGTTAAACCAGACATTTATGTATGTAAAGATTAACCGTAAACATTGGTTTCTTGACGAAAAAGATAAAGTTGAACTTTTACCTTTATGAGTATCTGTTTACTTAAATAATACAATAATACAATTATTGGAATAAAGTGATATGTTTATCATCCTCAAGATTTATAAATGCAAATAGTTAATTGAATTTCGCCAAATATCTTTTACTATCTATGTTTTTGCAGTTTTCTTGAATACAGGTCATATTTTCATAAACTTAAATAATCGTAACCAAGTGAAAGTGCAACTCCGTTTGGAGAGAGAATGTATTAAGAAATACCTTAACTTGGAATGAATACAAATATGTAATTAAAATATCATCACAAAACTTCATTAGATGTCCGTATATTGACCTGATTTTTGCTACAGATTAAAAGTCAGGGCCAAGCTCACATGACGGCTAAACATATCCGCATTCGTCTGTACGCTATGTAAATTTACAAAAATTTACATATTTACTATTTCATTGCATTAGTTTTAATCATAAAAAAATAAGTGTGAGAACGAGAATAGACTTATATAAACTGAATATAGATACTCTTTTCTGGTATGTTAAAGGAATTTACGTTAAGTACTGAAGAAAAGTAATCAAGCCAACACAAAAGAACCAAACTTAGTATGTGTAGTTTTCAATGTAATATTTAATAGAGCTAAACCATTGCAAATATACGTCCAACGTAAGCAAAATCGGCACGCACATCAGATAATTGAAATACTCAGCCCAATCAACGCATAATTACCTAGCCCATCTGACCGAGACATTAATGTACCTGCAATAATATATCGACCTTCACAGTCACAATACGTGGCCATATTATCAGGTATATCACGAACTCCGTGTCCGAAACGTTGATACGAAATTCCCTCTCCCCCGTAACGAAATTGCTAGTAATTGATTTGTTCTCCCCGAAATGCCACTTCAAGAATCTTTCGGTGCGAAATAACTTGCAATTTCCTATTGATATAAGTCGGTCTCCTTAAGACACGACCGCTGTAATTGGATTTCAGAAATCGCTACTATGTCGACATTGAAATACCCTTAACGAATTTGTAATTGTTTTATAAGCTGACGTACAATGTCCAGTCACGTTTAGATCTTAAAATCACTTAAGCATTTATTGAAGAATCATAAGGTCTAAAGAGATCTAATAATGTAATGTGGAAATTATTTGGTTAATTAGACTAACCAAACTCTGTAAAGAATGCCTATAAATACATTAAAATGGTATATAGACGAGGCACAGTGAACAATTAAATATCAGTTATCAATTTAAGTACGCCACCTCGTTTCCTTATATTGACACGTAATAAAACATTTTACATAATTATAATAAGTTCATCTTTTATTATAAAATAGTTTTCAGGATCTATCAATAAATAGTGTTAGTGAGATTATGTGAAGAATGTTTCAAGTGTCAACTACGCCTCTATATGTTTTATGAATATCTTTGGTTTATAATGTTACAAACAAACGCAAGATAATCAGTCATATAAGTTATCCCACAAGCTTTTCATTACCGACACGTAATATAAATGGTAAACTCCATAGTGTATTGTTTATGTTATTACGGCCAGTACCTAGTAAAATAACAAGTTCATCGATTTACGCCCCTTTTGTGTGTTAGAATTATTCTGCGGGGCCTTTGTTTTTCGGCCGTCGTGCTTAGCGTCAGAGCGTTTATTAGGAAATTGGAAATGTGCGGGCACAAAGGATCTTGAATTAAATCAACGGGCCAATATCCCGGCAGGACTGCTTTGTTGGCCACTGAGGGACGTTGCGATCGAACACGGACATATCTCTTTCGCTTATTCACCAAGTAGATTAATGATAAAATTAAACTTAAGGACATAAAAAAATGTAAGCTCTAATATAATTTAAAGCTTTACGAATGTTGACAAACGAGGAATTATTTTCTTTGCATAACTTTGTTGCAGTGTAAGAATTATTATCATGTTTAAATAATAAATTGTTCGTAATCAATAAAGACCTATATACAACAATGGGCAGACAAAGGCTGATGATGAATAAATGATTTTTTTTTAATTAAATTAATGATTATTTGTTAAGGATGGAAAAAACTGTTATTCAAGTAACCTCTTTACAAGCGAACAACGTAAAACAATGCATCTCGCAATAAAATTTCCAGACTTCATTTTCTGAAATGTAAAATCTTCCGAAAGATATGGCCGGTACTTTGTTTTCAATTCCACTGATTTCCGTACAATTTTAAATAAGGTTATAGAAAAGTTTATTGCATTTTGTTAAGGAAATAGCATTGCGTCTTCTTATTTCGCCGTAATATGTAAGAAGCATTATTCTTCTCTCCAACACGACCGTATTACCATATTTGTGTACTGTTATGCAGAAACTTACTAGAAGACGAACATTGAATAGAATATTGTTTCAAATCTTGCTTTTTGAATATATGCACGATGTTTTTGTCTTTTTCCTTATTTCAATATCTTTTGTTTCATTATTGTAATGTAACTGTATGTTTACAATCATACTAATGTTATAAATGCGAAAGTTTAGATGAATGAATGGATGTTTGTTAGAGTTTGTAGCCTAAACGGCTAAACAGATTTCAATTAAATTTGGTATATATGTAGACGATCGTCTGGAAAAACACATAGGCTACTCACTGTTGTTTTTTTTAATGCCACGCATACGGAGTCTCTGTCGAAAGCTAGTGGACTGTATTTATCATGGAAAATCAAAGATATTAAAATAAATTATAGAATAGGCATAGTTGACACTTCACTTGAGACATTTTACACATGATCACTTCTAACGCTTACTATTGATAGCCTCAAAACCGAACGTCTTTGTATTTAAATTAGTTGCCAATAGATGTAATTAAGTAATATATTCAAATGTTTATGATTTATTTCAAAATACTGCATAACTTATTAAAAATGTATAAAATTTAATATTAACACATTATGTTATTGTCAACAGGTTAAGTAAAAATGTCGTCGCCGTCCAAGCACCGCTTTAAGAAACAGAGTTGGTACAAACGTCTGATGTACAAGAGATTGCCGATCGCAAGATGGATGCCTGGATACAACTCGGAAAAGGCCATTGCTGACTTGATTGCTGGCATTACAGTTGGTCTTACAGTGATACCACAAGCTTTAGCTTACGCTACGCTTGCCGGACTACCGCCACAGGTAACAGTTTAGTTATCTGTCAGTTTTGACAAATTAAAAAATAGCTACAGGAACTATTTAAGCAATTAGCTGCTTGAAATATTTATCCCTTAAAGTTTATCCCTTAGCGACTTATTTAGCTATATCGTAAGTTTTCGACGAAGAATTTAACCAAATGATGCACGTAGATTGATTTCTACAGAGATACAAATTTTTACCGGTCGATCAGCGTAAATCGTTCGATGTTAAATTATATTTTTTAAAACTTCCTTGAATACTATCCACAACAAATCAAATATACTTATATATATCGGTACTGTTTTATAGAAATATGTTATTTTGATGTTTTCTTAAACGCTTCAATTTCGGGATATCAGTGTAATAAATGTTTTATTATTGTACAAGACTACGTCAAATTTATTCATCGATGTTTTTATTTCGACTGCTTCGTACCGATAAGGACACGGAATGCTTGGGGAAGCATTAATTTGAATAACAGCGTCGTAACATTTGCATGTTAGCACCCTATTATTCAATAAGCCATTGGCATCAAAAAAATAAAATGTCGTCGAAATATTTTCGCTCCCCTTTCCCCATGTTTGTGAGATTAATGTGTATTGTTCCTCTCTGTAAATTTGTTTCTGAAGTTTGCGACGGGGACCGCTGTTATTCGAAAGCAATTTAGTAACGACGATTTATATTCACTTGTGTTTTATTATTTTATCTTTATTGGTAGACGGTATTTCATGACCTAAGTTTAAAAAAGTAATCCATCAACGGTATAATAACTTTTCTTACCTTTGTAATTAGCATTGAACTGTTATGCAAAAGAAATGTATTTTTTTATTTCAGTATGGCCTTTACTCATCATTCATGGGCTGCTTCATCTATACAATTTTCGGGTCCTGCAAGGATATTACTTTGGGCCCGACAGCGCTATTGGCTTTAATGACATACGAACAGATACAAGGAAGGAATTTCGACTACGCAATATTGCTTTGTTTCCTAACGGGCGTCGTTCAACTGGTTATGGGAATATTGCATTTAGGTCGGTAAGCTGCGTTCATTTTGATTCATATAACAATATTCCGCATACATTTCACGTTCAATATCCAAGTTATGATATGATACTGGAAGCAATATGGTTGCCACTATCGTTCGAATTATATTTACTATTTTAAAGTAGAATTTAATATGAAGTATATGGGATGGCCTTTTAGGCTTCACGTTTCTTTGTAATCCAACTCTTAGACGAGAAAAAGGTATATTTTTTAACCTATATTTTAAAATGATCACTTTTAAAATCCTGTTTAACGATGTTTTAAACATAAATTACGAATCACTCGTAAACTGTAGAAAAAAGTATTTTAGATTACTTAATAAGTATGTATTTTGTTTCTTTTATTATCTCAACGTCGACTGCTCTATCAATTTTAAGTATAAAATAAAAAGAATGACATCGGACGCTTCAATGTACTATTCATCTTGTTTCGTGACTTAATTCTATTACAAAAGGAGAAAGATCTTGTTCATTTGTGTCCATTATTTATCTTGCCCTGCTGTTTCTTTAGACATTTACTTATACATCTAAATGATGTTTCGTTTATCATTGAAATAAACAAATGTAATTTAATCACCTCTGATTTTCTATAGAAAGCTATCTTACTAATATTATAAATGCGAAAGTTTAGATGGATGGATGGATGTTTGTTAGCGTTTGTAGCCTAAACATCTGAACGGATCTGCATGAAATTTGGCACAGGTTTAGAGCATAGTCTGGAAAAACACATAGGCTACTTTTTATCCCGGGAATAGTTACGGT